ACCCCCCCCCCCCCCACCCCTCCCTCATTTACAGAGGGACATGGCTGAGAGAGGGCACAGTCTAGAGAGCATCAAAGCGAGTATCGAAGCTCGAAAACCCGACTTCGACGCCTATATTGGTAAGATTTGAAGGAATTTAGAAGATGTTTTTGATGTCCAAGAACAAGAAGAAGGGGGTTAGTATCTGATGTGTGTGATATACATGAATTTGCAGACCCACAGAAGCAATATGCAGATGCAGTGATTGAAGTGCTACCAACAAAGCTAATTCCAGATGATAATGAAGGAAAAGTGTTGAGAGTAAGGCTGATAATGAAGGAAGGGGTGGAGTTTTTTGATCCAGTTTATTTGTTTGATGAAGGCTCTACCATTTCTTGGATTCCTTGTGGAAGAAAGCTCACTTGTTCTTACCCTGGCATCAAATTCTCCTATGGCCCTGAAATTTACTATGGCAATGAGGTAATATCCACCACTAATTCCCGTTCAAATTCACTAAAACTAACTCGAAAGTTGGGTTTTGGTGATGTTTTCGTCTCTTGTTTATCATTTTTTATGACTAATTCGGATTAAAATTCACTAAAACTCACTCATAAATTAGGTTTTGGTGATGTTTTCGTCATTTTCAAAGATTTTTTCGTTGAATTTTGGTGATGTTTTCGTTTCTTGTTTATCATTTTCATGTTTTTTTTAGTGTTTTTATGATTTATTTAAAGTAAACTAATGAAACCCTTTCTAAAATTATAATCAAATTTTAAAATATAAAAAGAATCAAAAGTATTTATGTTTTGTTTTTAAAATTTATTTATTGAATGAAACCAATATTTACAATTTTTCATTAGTACCTAAAATTTTAAAATATTAAGTTAAATAATAATAATAATATTATTATTATCTAATTTTATTAAGTATATAAATATGTTTCTTTTTTTTTGTTTACATTTTATTTTACCTACGTTTTTTTAAAAAAATCAAACTAAGTTTTGCATTTTTTTTAAATAGTTTTTATTTTTGTAATATGGTTTGAATTCAAATATTTTTTAAAAAAAGAAATATAGAAATACGAAAGAGAAGAAGAAGAGAACTCACAGTCGAATACTTTGGCGATGCACGCAAGGTGTTTGATGAAATGTCTGAATGACGATTTGCAGGTATCCGTACTGGAAATGGACGGGCAATTCGACAGACTCGACGAGCTGATCTATGTCGAAAGCCATCTGAGCAATCTGTCGACAAATTTCTACGGCGAAGTGACTCAACAGATGCTGAAGCACGCGGACTTCCCCGGAAGCAACAATGGCACAGGCTTCTTCCAAACCATAGTCGGATTGAAGATCAGAGATCTGTTCGAGCAGATTTCTGCCAGCAAGGCCAAGGCGCCGGTCGAGGCCGCAAAAGCTTGAAGTTACTGTGGTGAGTGTTTTTCTCAGTCGCCGCGCCGGCCGATGTCTGGATTTAGCCTTTTCAATTCAAGCGTTGTGTTGTATTGTTGTAGTCTGAGCTTTATAGGCTGTTTTACAATGAATTATTGTTTTGAAATTCCTGATCGGTGGAGATTTGTAATGTAAAAAACAAACAAACAAAAGAATCGAAAGCGGAAATGATATGCAAAATTCGAAGTTTCTGCAGAGGTTGGTTTGGTAACTACCAATTTTGCTTCGTTGTTTCTTGTTCTCCCCGCATTCACTCATCGTTATGAACTAGTTTGGTGAGTAAACTTTCACATAAACATTTATTACTTTCTTTAAATAAAATTATTAATACCCGAATAATATATTATTTAGGAAATATATCTTAAATATTATATCTTAATGTTCTTTATAATTTGATTGATAGTATATTTTATTTTATTATTAATATTTAATTAGTTTATATTTTCTAAGTGACGTAGCTAGTTTGTATCATATTTAAAGCTTATGAATATAAATGAGAATACGTTAAACTTTCATAAATATTTTAAATAAAATTTGTATACTAAATCGATTTTTAATCAACATTTTTATAATAACCCTAAATCAAATATTTTTAACTTTGAATTTCAATTTTATAATACTTTTCAAGAGCATTAAAAAAAAAAATACTCTTACTATTAATGAAAACCCTATTAAAACAGTAATTAAAAAAAACACAAAATTTAATTATGATATTTAGAAAAAAAAAATTGTCTCGATGTTACACGAAAATTATTATAAAAATTTCATATAAATAAAGTATTTTTAATACAATATAACTTTAATTAATTAAATTTTGGTTTAATTTTAATTCCTATACATTAATTTTATATATTTTTAGTTTATTTTATAATAAATTTGAATAATTATTATCAAATAAATGATTATAATAAAATTATATAAACTTACAAGATATGATCGTAAATGTGAGTGTGGAACTATATCCAGCTGGATTACAATTTTTTTTTTTTTTCTAATTTCTTTGAAATAAGGAAGATGTTGAAGAAAAAAATAATAATAATTAACTTGAAAATCAGCGGTACTTCCCTGTACAAACTACAAAGTCCATGCTTTCCTGATTTTCCTTTTACCAAACTGCTTACAAGTGACGGTGAGCAAGAGAGTGGCTTTATATCAGCCAGCGATGGCAATCAAGCTTTGCCTAACTAATGGAAGTGAGCAAAGCACAGAGCCAAAAATTCCATTCAAGGCATAGGCTATGGCGCAGAACGGGAGAGCCTCGGGTTCCTTGGCCGATAATGCTGCGGTTCCGAGCCCGTGTGCACTGAAACACAAACAAATGGTAACGATGAAGCTCAATGACTTCTAGTTTCTATTGACAAATCAAAGATTACTAGAAGAAAGCTATAACAAAAGGGCAGCCCTCTCTACGGAAGTCGACTCGAAATATTCGATCTTAGGTGCTTCCTCTCTTGACTAACCAGCTTTCATTGAGGATGGTTGGGAGGGAGTCCCACATTTGGCTAATTTAGAAGATGATCATGGGTTTATATAAGTAAGGAATACATCTCTATCTCTATTGGTACGAGGGAAAGCCCAAAGCAAAGCCATGAGAGCTTATACTTAAAGTGGATAATATCATACCTTCTAACCGCTCTTTCATTGAGGAGAAGCGAACAACAGGCTAAAGGGAACGAGGAGAATTTGAACCGATAGCATACTATAATAGCATGTCATATAATATATGACATGGATTTTAGTTCCTATGCATGAATGAAACCAACTTGCTAATATGGATTCATTGTGCCATAGTTCATACCTCGAAGCAGTTGCAATTCCCCGAGCGATAGGATCACGAAACTTCAGATTATCAAGGGCTGCTTGGACAAAATTTGCCCCGACCAGACCGGTTACAACGACTACAGCAGCCGTGACAGATGAATTGGTGCCTACAACGAGTAAGGAACTAAGTTAACGGGAAGTTATGCTATAAACTGAGCTTGTCAGATATCATACGGATAAAACAGCTCCAGATAACAATTTGCTACTACTTTTTGTAAATCACAATTTCAATATATCCACAAGGACCTAAAGTATGGTTGTACCTTCAAAAAATGTCACAATGCTGAGTGCCAAGGCGACAGTTATACATCTTGGTAGGATTGAAACAGTCAAGTTAGGCTCTAGTCCAATGAAACGTCCAATAAGAGCAGTTGAGTACAAGGAGAATATAGTTGAGATAATAACAGAGGTAAAGATCTCAGCCGCATGCCTTTTAACGAGCTGCAAAATACAAGAGATGGCTAAATTGGCTAAGGTATATATCCTCGACCAAGAGAACATAGCTTCGAGTTCCGACCACCATGTTCTTGATTTCAAACATAGCTTCGAGTTCCGACCACCATGTTCTTGATTTCAAAAAATGATTATAATAAAGATGAACTCTCAAATGAGAAAATAAAAACTGAGCCTAGTTCGGGACTTAAAAAAGATCGTTCCGGGAAACCAAAACATATCAAGCAGAAAATGGAAATCAGCTAAATGGATATGATAAATAAGAAAGAAAGTTACCTTTCTCTGTTTGAACATGGAGAAGGCGAAGGAGAGGATAACAGATCCCAAAAATCCCATTAGAATATCCCCAGCTCCAGGGTTAGATGATGCTTTTGTCAAATAAGAAGCTGAAATTTTATAGAGGATTGCCAGTCATACAAACAGAATGGAGACACATACTTGCAAAATAGTAAAATAGTAAGATGTGAATGATAAAGCTCGAGACTAAATGTAACAGTTCAGGCCCACCGCTAGTAGATATTGTTCTCTTTGAGCTTTTCTTTCTGGGACTAAATATAACAGTTCAGGCCCACCGCTAGTAGATATTGTTCTCTTTGGGCTTTTCTTTCCGGACTTTTCCTCAAGATTTTAAAACGTGTTTGCTAGGGAGAGATTTTCACACCCTTATAAATAATGTTTCGTTCCCCTTTCCAACCAGGACTTCCCCTCAAGATTTTAAAACGTGTCTACTAGAGAGAGATTTTCAAACCCTTATAATGATTGTTTCGTTCTCCTTTCCAACCGACGTGGGATCTCACACTAAATGAGTTTTTTTAAGCTAACACATTTTAACATCTTTTGGATTTCTTGCCAATGAAGGAGAGATCAAAGCATGGCTGTAGACCGTACCTAGAATTGGATCAAGCCCAGAGCGGGAAAAGTATCCAAAAGCCAGTGCTGCAAGATCAGCAGAGACTGCACAACAGATGATTGGGTGGAAAACTGTCTTCACACTGCCTGGTAATCTGGCAATCACATATCAACAAACCATAAGATGCATATCATTAGTAAAGGGTATTTTATCCTTTTCAGCTTTCTAAAGTTGAGGATAACAGAACTTTACTTAGAACCAACAATGTAGCCCAAGACCGTCGATGCAAGGAGGAACGGAAGGAACGTTCGAGCGCTCGTCCCTAGTGCTGTTGGATAAAATAAAGCACCAACAAAAGATGCCACAAAAATTCCAGTCCAGCTCCAAACTTCAACAGAAGAAAAGGGAGATGGTTTTTGCATAGGCTCAGCATCAGTCATTTCAGTTTTTACAATATTTCTAACAGCTATGGCCATATATCCTGCAACACATAGAGTAGCTAGCCAGCCTACAACTGCAAAGCACCATTGAATGGAAGAGGGTAAGCCAATAAACTGAAACTCACACAGCCACAGAGGAGGGAGAGGCAAAGTGATACATGATTTTTCTACTAATCTATTTTTCTAACAGTTTTGGAGATATCAAAGACTTTTCTTACTAATTAAGCTCAGATTCTGGAACATCAACGATTTTTCTTACTAATTAAGCTCAGATTCTGGAGATATCAACGATTTTCCTTACTAATTAAGCTCAGATTCTGAAGATCTCAACGATTTTTCTTACTAATTAAGCTTAGATTCTGGAGATATCAAAGATTTTTCTTACTAATTAAGCTCACTTGAAGATTCAAACACACGATGAAGGCTAGATGTAACTATGAGAATTAGAAGTAACAAATCCACCCCAAATGATATGTAAGGCTCGTTTAACATTTGGTTGATCAAATTCTCATAGTTAAGATACCACAGATGATAATAAAATTTATGTACCTATTATGAAGCAAATTTTGATCCCAGATGCCGCAGGGATGTCCTTCACAGACAAAGGCAAAATAACCAACGATGGAACATAGAACAGAGGTAGCCATCTCTGGATAAACAAGAGAGCCGGTTCAAAGAAGTTCATAACGCCAGTAGCAGCCGATGGAACAGTAGAATCAAGAGCCAACAAAACAGTGAAGATACAAAACATCCCAAACAACGCACTGGGGAACTTAATCGCAGCAGCCACAAAAGCCTTTTTCAAGAGCTTATCAGTCGCAAGAATAATTCCAAGAGAAACAGCTAAATGAATTACCGAAAACACCTACAGAGCATAAACGATAAATCATAATCCACAACCCGAAAAAACACAAAAACAAAATCAAAGCTCAAGATTCCAGTTCATCTTCTATTGCTCACACTTTGAGAGAGAGTGGGAGAAGTGGTAGCGCCATCCGAAGCGGCCGATTTCAGAAGAAGAAATTCTCTGGAAGAAGGCGAAGTTTCTGGAGACTCCATTGGCAAGAACCTCCGATTGGAACAGGGGACTTTGAAGATGGGTTTGCTAGATTCCTGGGAAGAGCGGGGTTCGTAAATGGCGCGAGAGATACCATTGAAAGCAATGGAAGCTTTTCTGGAACGGAGAGGACGAAAATGGCACCATGGAATGGAGTTGGGTGCGGTGGAGACGGTCGGGTGGAGGAAATTGGAAAGAGACAGAGGCGAAAAGGAATGCTGGGGTGTGGCGTAGCAGACCGCCATGGAAATGTACAGAAACTGAGAAGCTGCAGAGAATTTTTTTGTGGGATCTGTAAGTCGTTGAGTGGTCGTTGATGACTCATACGTGAACGATTGGGTGATCTGTCTTTGGTTCGTTATGATCCGACACGTGTCCTATTTGCTCGGAGTAAATGCCGTTAATTTATAAAATAAGTTAAAAAAAAAATACCTTTTATTTTCTGTTTTATTTAAATATTATCTTTCGCCTCTTTTTTTTTTTTTTTTTTTTTTTTTTTTTTTTTTTTTTTTTTTTTTTTTTTTTTTTT